CAAATTTGATGATTTTTTTTTTTGTATCTGGAAATCCTACCCTTGTCACTTGCTTCATGGCACTTGAAAACTTGCTTCACTGAGTCAATTTTCCGGCACTTAATCTCGCAGAAAGCGTCGTAACGAGGAAGCAAATAATTTTTCCCTCTCCGCTAAAAAAAATGGTTTTGCGAATATTTTATTGACAGTTTGAAAGTACTTTTGGAAAATTTTTTCCGGTCTCAAAAAAATCATATGTATGCGAGAACGGAATGGTGCACAGACAGAATGAGCAAGAGAGTACCAACAGCAGTTTCCCGTCTTCCTCGTTCACTCCCCTCCCCGTCCATTGTTAAACTTTAGCCTCTTATGTCAGTGCCCTTGCTCACCCCTCTCTCATTGCTCCTCCTCCGAGAATTCAGCTCGTTACCTCCCTTTCTTTTCGTTGCTATAGCAATTCCATACTTCACCTAATCTCGTTTTAGTACTTTCCCTTTTTCACTTATTATTTTTCTTGACTTTAGCAGTATAATTATTTTTTTTTTTTGTCCTCTCCACCGTCTGTTATGAATTTTTTACTCGTTTACGTCGCAATTGCTTCCTTTTTATCCTTCATATTTTGAAAATTTCGCAGGACTTTCGGGATTGTCGACTACACCATTGAAGAGCTTTATAAATATAAATTTGTAGCGATTTAAGTATGTAGTCCGTAATTGACGAGTATGACGCAGTGGCAAGTAGCACTACACACATGCTGAAGATCGAGGGTTCGACTCCCCCAGTGAAAAAACTAACCCCCTTACGGTCCGTTCTTTCGTTTTGGCACTGAATTGGTGTTAGTACATATCAGGAGAGTCTAAAATACTATCATCAGCTGTCTTACGAATAACTCTTGAAGGAAGCGATTAGCAACGTTACTTGATAGTAGTCTAATTTCTGTATAGTTTTCTCCGTCTTTGGCTATGAAATATTATTGACTATGATATGCTTTCTTCAAGGGCGTTACCTCTTGAGCCTTATTTTTTTGAGATCTAGAATGAGGAAAACAAGGACGGGAAGAGTGATTCTCTTTCACGTCCCACATTCGTTGAATTTCAGTACCAGGCTGCATAGTATTGGTACTGCGCCGTCAAAAACACGCTTAGTATCCATTGGTCATCCGATGAATGATTTTTGTAGGTGCTATGCCCCCAGATGGCCATCAGACATCGGCACAAATTATATCAGAAATTCGGAAACGTCAAACGGTTTGCATTTGTACTGGAAATATACAGAGACACCAGGAGTTGTTTCGACGAATGTTCAAAAATTCAGCGGAGGAGTTGCTCGCCGCGATCACCTATCAACTTGATGGACCGAATGGACCGGAACTGGAAATGATGTATGACTTTTGCTAAACATTTTCTCCGAAATTTACAGCTTTCTTTTTCAACAAAGCCAGTATTTTCGTGAATGAAACTTTTTTTTGCAAATGAGTGCGAGCCTGGAAGGAATCGATCCACTCACATCCACTTTTCCCAAATCCTTCGAATCATGATGTGTTATCCATTATGTTACCGGTGCAGTAGCTGTGTATAGCGCAACAGCTGGAGCACTCGTATCTGAATGTATGACATTTCCACACTCTTTAACAATTCTTCTTGGCTTTTCGTGGTATATCTGTGATGGATATTTTTAGTTATAGATTTCATGGTTATGTAGTTACGTGACTTCATGGATCTCGAACTTGAGGCTCGAGCTCAAGGCAGTCACACTTTTAAAGGGAGGAAGAAAAGGGATTGAGAACAGAATGCACGCAAAGTAGTCTTTAAAATGCTTTGAGTCTGACAGCTATACGGGCCAAAAAACCGTGCAGTCGGACTCTGCAAATTTTTTTTTTTTTTTGTAATGTTTCGATTTTCAGGCCTAGTGGTACAGTAATGCTTTCTCGTGATGCTGAGAATTGCCACTTGAACTCATTCGAAAAGGCTGATATGAAGATAACATTGAAGGTTTGCTTATCCTTGTTCATTCGATATGTGCCAACTTCCAGATGATATAATTTTATCCTGAATCTAATCTATGTTTTCATCTTTTAATCAGAATCTCGTCTTATTGCAGATAGCAAAAGATTCTTGGAGTTCATTTTTATTTCGGCTTTTTTGCGGAGTTCATTTTTGTTTAGGCCCTCGTGTCAAATACCAAAAGTTGTTGTGCTCTCTTTTTCTATTAGCCTGCTTTTTTCGAGGATCGAAAGAAGGCGAAGATCGACTTGTCAGGATTTTGTAGATATTTATGTCGGCACTGGACGCGAAGCAGGTTGAAACAAGTGTTGATTATGCTTTAAAACTACTCGATGTGAAATCCATTGCACAGCTACTCATTGCTTTTCCGCCCTGTGAGCATCTGGTAAATGCTTTCAAATTTCTACGGAACTGTGTGTTTTTCCACGCAATAAAGTAAAATTTGATGGACAGGGCACACTGCACGCAGCGGGCGTTGCGCACTAGTGAGAGGTGTTTGTCACGAACACGTGCGAAAAACAGGCGAGAAACTATTCAGTATGATAGCATCAGACAGTACAGAGTCTGATGCTGTCACATCACAGTTTTTAGCCATACAGACTGGTGTGTATATAAGTGGCATGCATACGGATGTAAGTGCTTCTCACTGTTACTCGCATCCAATGCTCTCTTTGTCTGTGTTTACAGCTAAGGGATGAAACACAAACTACAAACTTGCGTGTGCATTAGAATATGTAGTTTTCAAAAAATTTTACAAAATATGTTTCACTTAGTGTTTGGAGCGCTTGAGTCTGTAGTGTAATGGATAGCACGTCACGAGCCGAAAGTAGTGGAAAATAAGTGGTTCTATTCCTTCCCGGCCCATGTTCATTTACGAAATAGGGCTACATTTGCGGCAGGTCATCAGCTGAGAAATATGAAATCCATGTATTCGAATTAGCGGACTGGCTTAGTGTGCCTGTGAGAAAAATACGGAGAATTCATTACTGTATTATCGAGAAAAAAGAATGGTAAAAGAACGAAGCACCGATTGGACGCCGGTGGCTGTTTTTATGCGTTTTTTGCAGCAATGCAATGCGAAAAACGCATATTGACGAGAGGTTGTCTGT